CACGGGCCAGGGCCCTTTTCTATGGTCTCAAACATCTTGCGCTCGACAGCAAAGAGAGGGTCACGGTGGCCATCTATGATCACGGTATCTGGAAGGCGTGGCAGCCCACTGAGGCCTATGCTCAATTCCCTGATCTTTACCAGGGACTGGATCCCGAAGACTTCGCGCAAGTTCGACCCCTTCTCTTTGGCCGAAAGGAAGAGGATTCCAACGCCACACGATTGGCTTTCCAACACGTCCCTTCTCCTCAAAGACAAGACTCACTTCTTGCATCAGGCCCAAGTGGTTGACTCTCCTGCCAAAGTGCCTTTGATCGAACAAAAAAGGCTCATCCTTCAGCAGTTGGAGCAGCACCCCTCACTTGGAGGTCATTCCTGGCAGGCCTATTGCACTGGAGTGCGATGCAGTCTCTGCAAACAGAGGTTTCATGCCAAAAGCCTCTTGGGCGAACTCAGGGCCGCGGTGGACTCCTCGTGTGACATGGCAGTGAAGCCCACCCCGACCAGAAAGACTCGCTTTCAGGTGATTGAAGAGCTCATTGGTGCTCAAACCGGTGTTCAACAGGGAGTGCACCATTTGAAGCTTGACAAGGCTTACCTCCGGTGCTCCGAGTGTGCCAGCTACATTTTGGCAAGATGCAATGAGGAAGCCTTCACCAACTTCGTTGGCAGCCCGTGCTTGGTAGGCCCCTTGGAGGCAGCACTATGGAGTGGACACCCCTCGCACACGATGTGCAGGAAAGGCAGCCTCGCCAGATGCACCAGATGTGGAGCGGCCGGACGCATCAAGCACGACAAGCTCGAGCTCACTCCGAAGCTGTCCAAGAGATGCGTCCACCTCGGGTCAAAGGACCTTCGAGCGTGGTTTTCGTGATGGCACCCAGCCCGAAAAAGGCGTGCAAAAAAAAACATACATACATACATGCATACATACATACATACATACATACATACATACATATATATAATGACGCTGATTGCAATTGGAACTACCTGCGAGGTATACAAATCCTGTGTGGAGATTCTAAGGCTCATGTGTGGAGCCAAGCTTTCCCACTACAGTGGCAGAAGTTGCAGCTTGAAGTTTTTCTGTTCGGGTGTTGATCAAGACCCACCAAAACTATCCTTTAAGAAATCCCTCTATTTCCCTAGGCCGGCCATCCCATATTCCATGTGCGGTCTCGTTTGATCATTCGTGTCCGAAAAACACCCACCGAGACTCGGACGGTTCGAGGTTTGGGGAAGATCACGAGTTCTTCCAGGCGCGGTCGAAGATGCCGGTCGAAGCTGGAGCGAAGCACGGCTGCAGCCGGTCGACTTTACTTTTTTTGTTTGCTAGCCATACATCATAATGTAGACTCTTGATTAATAAGCCCCACATATGAAGAGGACTTTCCAATTCAATTGGAGGGGTTTGTTAATCAAGAGTCTACATTAATCATGTTTAGCTTGTCAAATCCAGCTCTTGATGCTCAAAACCCTTCTCACCTCTGAATGAGGAGGGCACATGAGGGCACCGCTTCCTTTTGAGAGGCAGTGGAGAGGAAGAATGAGCAGTTGAAGATCGAACTGACAAGGCCCCATCAGAGCAGCCAGTGAAGTCTCTTTACGTTTGTGTTATTGGGTGCAGGTATTTGTGGCATCCTTTTCTTGGCTGTAGGATTGTTGGGGCTGCATAATCATCCAGTGTGCACTGATTTGACTCAGCAATCAGAAGAATCTTCTGACATGAACGTTAACCCACTGCTAGTGGAAGACCTCCGAGAATGGTACTTTAAACATCTTTAAACGGTTGAACCATTTGTTACCCGCTTACAGTGACCCCCCAACAAAAACGGACATCTAGAATCCCCCCATGCATTCATGACCATTCATGTATGGAAACCATTTCATACCATTTCCATTTCGGGACCTTCGACCAAAAGCTTGACCAAACGGACGGGACCTTCGACCCGAGGGGCGCTCGACCAGAACGTTCAGCGCGTTTCGTTCAGCGCGTGTCGTTCCGTCCGGTAAAAAGCAGCTCCGTTCGTAGCTTCTTGTTCCTAGTAGTATGGCTAGGAGCTACTAGTAGCGTCCTTGCTCCTAGTAGCGATGCCCTTTGATACTAGTAGCTTCTTTGCTCCTAGTAGTAAGGCCAGGAGCCCCTAGTAGCGTCCCTGCTCCTAGTAGCGATGCCCTTTGCTCCTAGTAGCGTCGTCCGTTCTGTGGTTTGGCTGGGTCAATTGTGGTTCGCGATGTTTGACGTTTTTCGCCGGTTCGGTTCTTGGACTTTTGGGGGCGGGGAAGTCCACGATTCCACCGTCCATGTTTTTCTTCCTGAATTTGGGGTTCCTCTTTTTTCGGCGTGTGGCACATCAAACAGATTTCAATTTCCACATGGTTCTTGTGGCTTGCACCCAGGCAACAGAAGAGTCAACCCATCACGCCTCTCAAGAGAGCCACGCACACACAGACACTGTCCAACAACCAGAACAGGGTGGTCATTTGAAACGGAACGACCACCCAATTGCTCAGGCTCTTGGGCCCAGTGGGCGCCGAGTCGCATGTAGAGCCAAAAAGGGAGCACGTGAGGGGAACAGCGGGAAGCGAGGGGAACAGAAGGGGGTTTCGAACCTCGCGTTTCCGCATGTTGTTGAGCCAGATCCTCGAACCTTGCAAAGCTCCTTCACAATCGCAAAGATCTTGCTGTCTGCAATCGCGCGCGCGCGCGCGCCTTGCAAACATGTGTTTTGATATTTGTGACTTGGGTGAAGATCTTATATCTGCATATATCATATATCTGCAAGAGTTGCTATAGCCAAACAACGACATCGGCACATCTAACAGACTAGAGCCACAAGAGTTTCCAGAATGGCCTTGTCATACTTGTTGAAGGCCGCGCTTT